GGATATGAGATTCAAAAACTTACTGTATAAGGAAATAATTGAAACTTCCAATTTTGGGATACGTTTGATTTGACATATCCTTGCAGTTTCAGGTAGTAAACTTTATCATTAATACTAAAGAATAGTAGATATTGGTTGTATATTAATTAAAATTTCATAAAAATTACAACTATAATCAAGAAAAATTAAAGTAGAATCAAACGCATGCAACAGTCAAGCTTGTGTCCTATTCAGCAAGAGGATTATCAAGATACACTTGGACTGTGTCCCAGCCATGTCTGTCTGCAATCTTTAAAATCTTATTTCTTTGGTTTAACGCGATATTTTCTGATTTAATGTTTTGTCCAATTTCCTTGTTTTTTCCCTCACGCACATGAGATTCTATGTTCTTTAATGTTGCAATTCTTTCTGTGTTTAAGTTACATTGGATATTTGTTCCCTCTTGCTTAAATTCAAAAGTCTTTAGTTGACAAGCATTGGAATCTTTTCAATTGTGGATTTTAATAATTTTTTGAACTCGAGCTTGAAAGTCCCGGTATTGGCTTGGTAGACTGAGTTTTGCTTAATTTTCCCATAATTTCTTCCTTCTTTATGTTAAAGCTTTAGCAAGGGACGTATTAAATAAGGAAACAGCATCTGCTGTCGAAATGTCTTGTTCTTCATGAAGAATCTTATCATCCAAATCCAAATCTTGCCCCTGTTCACCATTCATTTCGTGGACCTCGTGTATCACGTACACCTGTATACCCGCATGTTATAGCGACACTCGATAATCGGACATGAATGAGCGAGGATATATATAGTACATGATCACGTGTTAAGATTGGAATGCAACGAATTTAATTTTATTTCATTTCTGTACCTACAGTACAGACCATGGGGGTTGTGTTTTCTGTTCTAACTTATGTCCTTAGGTAATGTAAAAAAAACAAGAGGCCCAAGGGCCTTGAATCGCTCTTCTGATAAATTGTACAACCTATCACTTGTATTTGAAGCCTCTAACCCTAAGTATCCTAAGACCAAAGTTGCATCACCTGACAAAGTTTGATGATTCTTAGCCAATTAGGACTACTTTTTGGTCTACATTCTTGGAAAACCCAAAATGCATCAACTGACACAGTTTGATTATTCTAAGCCAATAAATACCTAAGATACTTAAATATAGCCATAAAATGTCGAAAGTAGGTAACCGTGACCTACTTTTAGGTTGACATTCTCCGAAAACCCAAGATGCATCAACTGACAAAGTTTGATGATTCTAAGCCAGTAAGTACCAGAGAACTTAAATATAGCCAAAAAATGTCGAAAGTAGGTCACCATGACCTACATTTTAGTCAACATTTTTCAGAGTCCAAAGATGCCTCTGCTGACTAAGTTTGATGATTCTAAGCCAATAAATACCTGAGATATTCAAAAGTAGGTCACCGTGACCTAATTTTTGGTCGTCACTCTCCGAAAACCCAAGATGCATCAACTCACAAAGTTTGATGATTCTAAGCCAATAAATACCGGAGATACTTAAATATAGCCATAAAATGTCGAAAGTAGGTCACCGTGACCTAATTTTTGGTCGTCACTCTCCGAAAACCCAAGATGCATCAACTCACAAAGTTTAATGATTCTAAGCCAATAAATACCTAAGATACTTAAATATAGCCATAAAATGCCGAAAGTAGGTCACCGTGACCTACATTTTGGTCGACATTTTTCAGAGTCCCAAGATGCATCTCCTGACCTAGTTTGATGATTTTAGGTCTGAAGGTAATCAAAATATGCCTTTTAAACAATTTGAAAACATATGCCTGCAAAATTCTAAAAGTAGGTCACAGTGACCTACTTTTTCTTAAATATGTTTTAAGGTCCCAAGATGCAGCAACTTACAAGATTTGATGATTCTAACCCTTTCAGTGCCTGAAATAATGGGATTAAATGTTTTAAAAAGGTAAATTCATAAAGTTCAAAAAGTAGGTCACGGTGACCTACTTTTAAGTTGACGTTGTTCAAGGACCCAAGATGTATCAACTGACTAAGTTTCATGATCATAGGCCTTAAAGTGTCCAAAATATGCCTTCAAATCAATTTGAAAACAAATCCCCGCAAAATTAAAAAAGTAGGTCACCGTGACCTACTTTTGAGTTAACATGATGTGAAGTCCTAAGATGCATCAACTTACAAGATTTGATGATCCTTTTCCTTATAGTAAGCAAAATATAAACATTTTTATAAATTGTAAATTTAGGTCAACTTTGAAGTGACCTTGAGACCACGCCCTTTGCCCCAGGGTCATGCCTTGAACAATTTTTAATCTTCAACATATCCTCCTGATCCTTGTATGTAAGTTTGGTGAAAATCTGCCTGGCGGTTCTGGAGAAGAAGATTTTTTAGCAACTAGTACTTTTGGTTTTGTTTTCCTGATTATCTCCCCTTGTTTTAGTGTCCTAACCCTTATTTTAGTATAAAGGGTAGCCCTTGGGCCAAGGATACCCTGTAGCAAATTTGGTACTGATTGGCCAAAGGGTTCTTTAGTTATGGCCCATATTCTAAAAAGTTAACGCACACCGCACAAATGGCCATAGCATTAGCTCTTTGAGCCTTTGGCTCAGAAGAGCTAAAAATTAACAGGTACAGTAATTTTACATGTGCATAACACGATAATAATTTTAAAAGATTTTTTTTAGTCTTGGTGGAGATGGAATGGATGCGCATGAAACTGACGAGGAGACGCTAAATCAACCAATTCCCGCGATAGCAGAGAGAGAGGATTGTCAAGTTGCGTCGGCACTAGCGTAAAAAACAGTACAGTGAGTAAAATCAAACTTTTCATTTATTCCATGAATAAGTATTATTGTGTTGAAAGTTGTTTAGTTTCATTTCAATATTTTTCAGAAGTGTACAAACGTCAGAACCCATAGAGATATTGAGGTATCATCAAAAACGCTTCATGATACTAACATCTAGGTACATAAAAATTGAGAACTTTTCCTTCACCTGAGGATCGTAGTCTCCAAAGTGACGGACCATTAGTAAGCTGATGCAAGTTGTAACAACCATTGGGAACATTGTCTCTGTGCTTGAGCCGTATCTGGCAAATTCGACAAATCTTAATCTTAAAGTCAAATGCAAAAATAAAAAAGAGGGGACTAAGTAAGTGGAAATCTTTGTGGTGGATCAGGGTTTCCGAGACAGTCGATAACAGCGAAAACTGCCGAGCTCAAGTTACATTCACCAAACATTTGAGATTTTAATTAATTTCAGCTAAACCACAAATCTGAATTGTGATTTTTTTTTTCAGGTCTTAATTTTCAATGACCAAATAAATATGTTATGAAACAATATTTTTTGACTAAAGGGCCCTTTAAAATCTACCCGTTCCCATAGATAAAATATGTTTATTTCCTATGTAGCTTGTAAAACGAGCTTTGATTGCTTACAAAGTTGGTTGTAAATTTCCATGCACCCGATTTGAGCCGGGTGTACTCTATCAATCAATGGACTTTTGAGAGAAGCACTGATTTTAACAGATGATAGTCACAGCATGAAAAGTTGCGTTCAAAAAATGATTAAATCAATATTTTACATGGACTTTCAAGTTTAATTCGGATTTTAATCTCAACTTAATCTCATGTTTAAAAATCATTAAACCCGGAGTTTCAAGTATAAGTTTGGTTTAAGGAATTTTTTTTTTTTTGCAAATGGTCAGCAATTTTGTCGAAGAAATTTTAATGTGTTTACCATGCTTCTGCCCCTCATTTTGCAGGCGAAATTGTTGACTCATTCCTCCCCCTCCTTGTTGCAACGGTAAATCATGGAAATGCAGAATGTTGGAATTTAAATCCTTCTGAATTGATCCCCCCTAAACTTTAAAAGAGGCAAATGGGCCACATCTCTAACCAGATAAAATTTGTTCATGCTGTTCTTTATCAGACCCCCGCCCCTAAAAAAAATAAACATCTATTATGACACAACCTACCCCCATGGATCTTGATTTGGATAATTAAGAGTTTACACTACCTTGGATGCTTCCAAATAAGTTAAACAATATCTACCATGTCCTCTGATGACAATTCCTCTTCGTTGACTCGGGAGAAAGTTACCGTCCAGAATGGAATGAACCGAGTAGTAACGATGACTCGGATGTGCCTAGCACTTTGGCTGGATGTAGGCCTAGAATTTCCAAGAAAAAAAAACTCCATGAAGAGCTCATCTTCACCTTGTGATTTCAATTTACTCCAAAAAACTCTGTTAGCCGTAGACTTAGTAGATCAGTAAGCATTTATGTGTACATAAATTCTTTCCTTGAAGTTAACACAGGTACAGTGAATTTTATACGATAGTTGATACCCATTAATTTACCACAAATTTTAATCAACTTAATGAGAAAGGAAGGAAAGGTCAGGTGGGCTCTACCAGGGACCTAATCTTAGTATTTAACTGTACACAAATGTTCATATAAAAATACGTACGTCCCTGGCTGAACATTTTTTTAAAGCCCCATCCTCTACTTATAAATTTCCTACAGCTTCCAAGAATGCCACTCTTCGAATCTTTACCACAAGCTGGTCAGTGTTCAAAATAAAAGTTCTACCAAGGTGAAGAGGTAGTTAGAAATCAAAATTTGAACATTACCTTTTTGAAGCAAATCATTTATAGTTAAAGGATTTCTGACAAGATTTTCTTAATCTTTTGTTTCCCTGTCAAAAATGCCAATCGATATCATAATAACATAAATAAACATGTGTTTCTATCGAGTCTTGTGTATATCCTGCGGTGTGATGCTGATAAGCTGGGAGGTCAGAATATGCATATTTCTTATCTGATAACGAGGCTCTACGTCATAGATACTCTTGAGTTCCCCACAGTTCTTTGTTTACTATTAGCGAAAGCACATGTACATGATGTAAAATGGTCTATTGCGCTGCATTTGGATGCAATAATAAGGCAGAAAAGGGCAAAGGGATAAGTTTTTTCACTTTTCCTAAAGATGTTAATCTCAGAAAGCAGTGGGCTCATTATATTGTCGGCGAAAGGACTTTACACCCACTTCAGGACACAGATTATGCTCTGTTCACTTTTCACCCAAGTGTTTCCAACAAGACCCCAAGCTTCTCGGTGAAATGGGACTTCAGGAATCATTTAGGAAACGTTTGAGAATAAATGCAGTCCCAGATATGCCACTTTTGACCGAAGAAGAGCTGTGTAGCGAACAGACAACAGCAAAGGTCCGTGGAGCGTATGCAAAGCGACAGAAAGCAGAGGTACTTAAATTACTTTTTTGTTTATATTCATAGGCCTATATATTATAATGTCACTGAGTGAAAATCTAGTAATTTACAATTTAGACATTTTTCAATAGAAATTTTATTAAAAATTGAACTGATATATCATTTTCTTTATCCAGTATTTTGTTTGCTTTACTTCATGGGAATTTCCTCCAGTTTTATTTACACTGGATGCATGAAAATCATTTTTAGAAAATAGATGACATATTTAATTTTTAAGCTGATTTTTTAAATATAAATATATGTACTTTTTTTTAATCTTGAATTTTATAACTGATATAAAATTGGATAAAAAAAAATTCTTTAAAGACCAAATTTTGCATATCTCTGCTAAGCTACAGTACTTTTATATTAATTATAGATTATTAAGGAAGCACTGAAAAAGAGTAAAGACACAGAAAAACCAAAGGATACTGCAAGTGCTGTTGCCTCCAAAAGTGTTGAAACAAAAAACAAGAAAGTACAGGCTGAACTTCGCCCTCCGCAACGTACAAGATCTCATCAAACTGACGAGCGTATTTTAGCGACAAAGAACAAGCTACGTTCATTTGCAACACAGACAGACTCCAAAATAACTATGATCCCCTCTATATCATCCCTATCTCTTTCTCAAGAATCTGCAAACTACAGTGAGGTTGATGATTATAGTGATGAATCGGACAGTGAAGATGAGGAAGAATCAGATGATTTGTATATTCCAACAGACGGATCTGACCTTGAGGCTGATGACGATGAGGATGGTGAAGGGGAAGTACAGGCAACCACAGTCAGGTTGCGACAAGATGTCTCTCCGGTGGAGGAGAAACAGTTTTTGGTCAGTGAAACTGAACTTGCAGAATTATTGTCTGTTTGTAGGTATTGCAGTGCAGAATGTACCCCAATCATCAAATTTGTTAGGGGTACCTTTATCTACACTTCATCAAAGTGCTTAAACAACCATGAATTTACCTGGAGCAGCCAGCCTTGTCACAACACTTTACTATGGTCAAACCTTTTTACTGCCACTGCCATTCTGACAAGTGGTTGCAATGCTACAAAGGTATTACAACTGTTTAATAATATGAACCTGCAGATGTTCACACCTAGAACCTACAACAGACTTCAATCATACTATGTTGTACCTTCTGCGACAAGAACCTGGGATTTTGAGCAGTCAGAACTACTTCAGGCAATTAGACACGGACCTAGCCAGGATGTTGTTGTAGGAGGAGATGCACGGTTTGACTCCCCAGGATATTCTGCCAAATATGGTACCTATACCATCATGGACCTTGAGAGAAACAAAATAATTGATTTTCAGCTTGTGCAGGTAAAATTTAACATACATATCTAGTTAACTTGCAGACTTTTGACTTAAATATTTTAAATTGATAAAAAGTATACTGTCACAACACTTAACATTTATGTTTTACATTTTTTCCAGAGTAATGAAGTAAAGGGGTCTTCCCATATGGAGCTTGCTGGATTAAAAAGAGCCATGGGATTTCTGAAAGATCATGTCAACATAACAACCCTTGTGACAGACAGGCATTCCATGGTTAAGAAGCATATGAGAATTTTCCATGCAGACAAAAACCATTATTTTGATGTATGGCACATTGCAAAAGGTAATTTACTGAAATTTAATTTTTTTATTGGAAACTGCTTTACATTGTTCGAAAGTTTATCTTATAACTCATTTTCCTTCATTTTATATAATGTAGGTGTTTCCAAAAAACTTGAAGCAGCATCAAAAAAGGTCAACGGACATCAAATCCGACCATGGATTAAGTCAATTGCCAACCACTGTCATTGGACAGCTTCATCTTGTGATGATGATGGGGAACTCAAGCAAGCTAAGTGGAAATCAATTGTGAACCACATATCCAACCAACACGAGAATCACTCCCAACAATATCCTAGATGTGAGCATGCCCCCATTGAAGATGGCAGACAGTGGATCAAAGAAGGTAACACTAATAATTTGTTCTATTTTAAATAATTTTCTCATTTTTTATATACCGATAGATATTTTGATTTAATAGAACATTGATAAAATGTAACTTCTTGTCTGATTGTAGGTTCTGTTCCACACAAGTTAATGAAGGATATAATTCTCAGCCCCTTCCTTTTAAAGGACATTGCCAAACTTTCGCCAACTCATCAAACATACAGCCTCGAGGTGTTTCACTCAGTTGTGAACCACTATGCACCAAAGAGCACCCATTTTTATTATCCTGCTATGCTTGCAAGGTATGCTAACATTTATTACTTGTGAAATACGTACTGAATCCTACAGGATCTATTTTTCATTTGATGCTTTTATGTATCAAAAGTTTATAAATTTTTGATTTAAGATTGAGTGTTGCCGCCTTGCATTTCAATGAAAACAGCAGTAGACAACAGGCAATGACAAAGGCTGGTGAGCTGCAATATTAAGTCTCTTATCCAAAGGCAAAGAAAGGACTGGAGGCAGTTGTAAAACCTAAGAAAATTCCTCCAACATTTAGTGAGTAAAAAGTATTTGACTTGTCAATAAACACAGTACTTGTAAATACATAGTGTATTATTTTGTGAAGTTTCTTTTCAATTACAATTATTTTTTTTCAGATTATGTGACCTTGATTAAACAGGCTGTCCACGAACGGAGAAGTGTGGAATGTCCTTCATACAGATGGGCTGCTGATGATATTGCAGTGCTTAATCAAGATGTACCACTGCCACTTACTCAAAACTTTGAGCATTTTGAAAAGGCTGCCTTGATACGCAGACACGCTTCAAGGTTTATTCGAACGTGATATTTCAAGTGTATTGGACATGTTGGACTATTGTTATACCTTTAGAAATTTGTTCCTATACAATTCTATACAAAAAAAGTCTAACATTTTTAATGTTTTGCTGAGCGGGCATAAAAAAATCGATGTTGGACCGCTGAGTGAGATGTTGGACCGCTTACGTCACAGAGTGGGCGGAGCTTAATCTCATTTTCATTCGCTGGTGTAAAACAGTGATAGATCTGATGTTACATCACGGAATTAAGTTGAAAGGTATAACAAAACATTTATTGACAGAGTTCTCGGGCTAAATGCGTTTTGTCGAACCCTCGAACCAAACTGTCTGCCTTCGGCCTAACGGCCTCAGGCAGACAGTTTGGTTCTTGGGTCCGACAAAACGCATGTTGCCCTCGAACTCAGTCAATAAATGTATATTATTAAATAGTAAAGACAGTTAAAATAATCCATTTGTTTATTTTACAAAAATTATTATAATTTGTTCCGTAAAATGTATATTCATCATACATATAATTATCTTGCATTTTAATACTGATATTATACATGTGATTTATCAAGATGTAGTATTTTTTACAATGAATAGAAATTTCACATTGCATATTTGAACCCGCAATAGTGTTCTGAGGGAAATGCTTCTCGTATCTTTGTCACTACACATGCAGGCAAAATTTTTCTGTGTTTTTTCCCAAGGAAATGCCAGATCCATCTCACAAATCTTCTGTATGCAAGATACCTGTAGATTCTGAAGTTAAAAAAATCACAATGTATAAGAAATACTTGTTGATTACAGAAAGAATAATAAAATGGAAATAAATTGATATTTCATTGTCTTATTTTTTTGTGTTTCACGAAGTTAAAAGAAATAAACTTACTCATCAGGAGGTTGGTTATCATCTAAAGGTCCAACATTCTGCAGGTATTCATACATGGAAACGTACAAAACATGTCTATTCAGGCAATTGGCAGTAAATATAGGACTCTCTGTTATACATTGGTGGTCCCCTGTCTCTGTTTCAGCTTGGACTGCTCCTATTTCTTTACAGCAAATGCACTCATCTACTGTTGGCATAGAGATGCAAAATCCACACTCGCACCTATTTTACACAAAAAATAATGTACTTTTTTCAGTGAATGGATCTTCATTCAATAATTTTGCGGAATTAATTAAATTATAGACTAATCACTTTGAACAAAGTAATTTTGTTTTAATGCAATGAGAAAAGCCGATAAAGATAAAGGACAGTGATCAATCTAAAAATAATTGATAAACAATTAAAATATCTCAAAAATGATCAATTTGATGAAAACAAATAAATGAATTGTGAATTCAATTATGAGAGTTAATATTTTTTAAAACAAATAAATAAATATTTAAAAAACTTACCAATCAGTGTTTACCAATCTATTGGGAAATTCTTCAATATCTGAGTTCTCCTCTTCTGAATCAGTGCTTTGCATGCTATCATTTGTATCAGCCAAAGGTTCAAATTGATAAGGTCTTACATCAATTGACTGAGGAAAATCTACACTTGGAATATCCCCTTCCAATGTCTCCATAACTTTCTATATATTTATATCAATTTTTGTGTGTAAGGAAGGCATGTAAACACTGAATAATTGTAACGCATGATAACAGGGGAGAACATGTGGAGAGAACTTGTGACGTCACTGCCTGCAGCTCATTATCTCTGACTGCTGAAAGCAGCGGGCAGCTTTTACTGCTGTCTTATCAGTGTGTGTGGTGAGAGTGGCCAGTAAAGCATTGATTACACACATCTACTGGGATTAATAGACATATTTAGCACTTAAAAGTATACATAAATATTGTGTCAGAAATCCTTTAAATATTTTGATTATGATTAAAGTTTACATAACAGATATAGCCCGCGTGGCGCAGTAGTAAGAGCGTCTGCTCCGTGCGAGCAATGAATGTCGAACGTTACGTAACTGTCCTCGTTAAAAAAAGATTGCTCCTCATGAGCGATGCATATTAAATATATACATATAAAAATGATGCATTTTCAAAAAAATGTCAATTTCAGTTACAAATACATGTATTATTCATTTAATTTTTTTCTGGTACAGAGATTTTTTTATTCTACAAACTTAACATTTTTTAACATCTGGTAAAATCTAGTTGTAAATACATCTTCCATTAACTAATATTTTATTTATAATTACTTTTCGTAAAAAGAAACGAAATATTAATTAAAATAACTTCACATTGTAATTTAGGGAAAATATTCCATAACATTGTGTACCTTCATCCGAGCCTTATTTTCTACTTATGAATTCTGCATATGAGTCAGTCATTTCGTCTAATTCTTGCTCTGTGACTTCTGACAGTGTTCACTGTTGCCCTTAAGTACATCTCCACTCGGAAAGCAGAGGGTGCGATTGAATAAACAAGAGGCCCATGGGCCAAATCGCTCACCTGAGTACTGTAGCTATGAAAAAGTAGAAATTGGTTTATTATTGAAAAGAAAAAATCCAAAAGTAATCCCATGATCAATCATGGATTTGCTATTCTTCAATGAATTTTCCTATATATTTCTATGTAAAACTTTGGTCGACCATTTTGGCCCGCCCTACCCCCAGGGGTCATGATTTGAACAAAGTTGAATCTTCACTACATGAAGATGCTTCCATATAAATTTGATGAATTATGGGTTTGTCATTCTTGAGAAGAAGATTTTTAAAGAATTTTCCTATATATTTCTATGTGAAACTTTGGTCGGCCATCTTTGCCCCGCCCTACCCCCGGGGGTCATGATTTAAACAAACTTGAATCTACACTACCTGAGGATGCTTCCATATAAATATGATGATCTATGCCTTTGTCATTCTTAAGAAGAAGATTTTTAAAGAATTTTCCTATATATTTCTATGTGAAACTTTGGTCGGCCATCTTGGCCCCGCCCTACCCCCGGGGGTCATGATTTGAACAAATTTGAATCTACTCTACCTGAGGATGCTTCCATATAAATATGATGAATTATGGGTTTGTCATTCTTGAGAAGATTTTTAAAGAATTTTCCTATATATTTCTATGTAAAACTTTGGTCGGCTATTTTGGCCCCGCCCTACCCCTAGGGGTCATGATTTGAATAAAATTTAATCTACACTACCTGAGGATGCTTCCATATAAATATGATGAATTATGCCTTTGTTATTCGTGAGAAGAAGACTTAAAAAAAGATTTCCTATATATTTCTATGTAAAACTTTGGTCGGCCATTTTGGCCCCGCCCTACCCCTGGGGATCATGATTTGAACAAACTTAAATCTACACTACCTGAGGATGTTACCCCATAAGTTTCATCTTTCCTGGCACAGTGGTTCTTGAGGAGAAGATTTTTAAAGAATTTTCGAATATATTTCTATGTAAAACTTTGGTCGGCCATTTTGGCCCCGCCCTACCCACGGGGGTCATGATTTGAACAAACTTGAATCTACACTACCTGAGGATGTTACCCCATAAGTTTCATCTTTCCTGGCACAGTGGTTCTTGAGAAGATTTTTAAAACATGCCACCAAATTTTCATTAATTCCCAATTATCTCCCCTTGAATAAGGGCGTGGCCCTTCATTTGAACAAACTTGAATACCCTTCACCCAAGGATGCTTTGTGGCAAGTTTGGTTGAAATTGGCCCAGTGGTTCTTGAGAAGAAGTCGAAAATGTGAAAAGTTTACAGACAGACGGACAGACGGACGCCGGACAAAATGTGATCAGAAAAGCTCACTTGAGCTTTCGGCTCAGGTGAGCTAAAAAACGTGACGTTTTCATAAACCCTTTGTTTCCGGATACTATGGTTGCCATATCTCTTTTCCCGCCACACATTTGCTGAGCAGTGAACATTCGCCCTCTCCTTTCGATAGCTTTACATTTATTGATGTTAATAAACGGTGGCCCTCATCACTGGTAATCAAACCGTAGTTATTGTTGTCTGTCTGGTGCTTCTGT